ACTTCGGGGAGGGCTGCTCGGCGGAGTTCCGGCGGTGGGGGAGCGTGGCGCAGGGTGAGGGGCGGCGGCCGTTGTTGGGGTTCCGGGGGTGCGGGCGCTCTGCGGGCAGCGCGGCCCCGCGGGGTGTGCGGGGCAGCTGTGGGCAGCACACCGAGGGGTGTGCTAAAGCGCTAGCACTGCTCCTGCACTTATTTGTAGTTCTTATAACTACGTTTTGCAGATCCGCGAAGCCTTCTAACTATTGCGGTCGCTATCGTTGAGGAAGTTTTCAGCTCTTTTGAGGGCTTCAGAAGATTCTTGAGACTTTCAGGGTATTCAGAGATGGTTTGACGGTATCAGCAACACTTGCACATGGTGGAAGTAAAACAACGCAGGCAGAACTTTTGTTTGCAGTGGTATTGTTCCAGTGGTATTTGAGTTTAATATGCAATGGCAGCTCTGCTGGAATGTTTTAAGGTAATCATAGTTCTGGGGAATTTTAATGTTTTGATTGAGACCAGGGAGAGAAGCAAACTGAACTGTGCCAAGAAAACTGTGGTTACTGAAGGTTTAGGGGTGAGGGCTTTTACATGATTAGGTGAAGACAAGCATTGGTGTTAATCTGTCACTTGTGATTCTTTGAAGCTTGAATGTGGTATGTGGTTGCCCATACACCATCAGCAGTTATGAAGCTGAGGCCTCAGATGCTGAGAGTTCAAGGCTACTGAAGAGTTGAAGAGGATTTAGGGAAGAGATGCAAATGTAAAAACCAGTATAATTACTTAAATACATTGAGTTCTATGAGTTTATATTCAGGGTTATGGTAGAAGACTAGAAGTATTTCAAGGCACTATAGCACACAAAGGTGGAATTAACTGGTGAATGGAAAAATACATATTTAAAATGAGAAATACTTAAGAGGGAGGGTACTTAACAGCTGCAAGCAAATGTATAGGGCTCAGATAAATTTGATGGATTTGTGATGGTTTTCCTGTTATAAATCATTTTCCTGAAGATACCAGGTTAGAGCTTTTGGGGATTATTTTTAGTGTGTGTGTGTGTTCTTGAAAAATGTGATAGCATGGCTTGTTTAAACTTTTGCAAAGAACAGCATACAATGGCAGGCAGAATGATGAGTAAAAAGATTGATATGAAAAATTGTAAGAGATAGGAAATCTAAAGGTAACATAAAGTACGTTGAATGGGGGGCAGCTAGATTAAATTATTAATGGTGCTTCTGTGTTTAGCCTTGGAACTGTGACTCAGTGGGAGAAGTGTACTGAAATTTCATGAAGGTGTAGGTGGGAAGCAGAGATACGGTCAACACAGAAGCAGATTGGAGTATCCCAAGAAGAACAGGAAGACTTTTCAGGACCGTATTAGTAAAATGATTAAATTATACAGAATACCATACCATGTGGAACTGAGAACTAATAGCAAATTTGGAATTTGTTCCTCTTCAGCAACAAAGAGTTGGGACGTATTGGTACTGTAAGATTACCGAGTCAGAAGTGTAAAAGTTACGTAAAAGGCTAAGCTCAGTAATAAGACTGCATTAGAAAAGCAGGTGTTATTTTTTTTTATAGAAATACAAAACTATTAGTCTTGCATGTGTCAAAGTGAGACCCTGTTGAAATAATGACTGTCAGCAAGAAGGTCAACTCAAACTTAAGCAAGTGCAGAAAGGTAGGAAGGCTAAGGGAATAAGATATTTTGTTAGGAGATACTTAATATTTCTGTATAGCTCAGTACACTTCCAAGCAGGAATAGCTAGGTTACCTGGGATTAGGGATTTAAAGAGAGCATGACAAGGTTGCATGCCTTGCCTACCTTATCCTTCCTTGACAGGATCTTATGGTCTGTATACCTGAAATAGCTTCTGTAGGTATCTACATGGCACAGAACTGGATATTTAGAATTTCTAATGAAAGGCTAAGGTGAGAAATACATTTCAGTGGACATAGGTAGGAAAGCATTTTATGATTGAGGGTGCTGTTAACAAATGAAGTGGAGAAACTGCTCTGGGGGCAGGGAAGGAGAACAGTCTAGAAAAGATTACTGAGGCTATGTCTTTTTCTGTTTGTCTGCATTACTTGTGAGTAATTGCTGCTAAGGACCTGGTGTCTATGCAGTAAGCAAGGTTTCTTGTTCACTGGAATAAATCTAAAAAATGTAACTTGTGCACTAAATACTGCTCCATTGTACAAACCAAGCACAGGAAGTTTGCTTTAGCACGTTGTAGGTGCACGTTAAAAGAACAGAGGAAGCTGAAAGATCTCAAGCTACTTGCCAGGATGACCCCTTTCATTCTGTGGAATTGTTCAGTTGCAGTATTCTGCCCTACTTCAAAAAATTCCAAGCTCTGGCTCTACGTTCAGGGCATGATGATGGTGCTTATTACTATTGTTCAACTCATACAAACTCTCTGAAATTGAACTCTATTGTCTGTTATGGAAGATGCATGAATTTGTGATTATAACGAGTGGCATTTTAGCAGTGGTCTTTTTCTACTTCCAGTTTTAGCTGTAGGAATTAAAAGCTCTTGTATCACCTGTCCTCACTGAGGCAGTTGTGTGTTCTTCTGAGCCCAAACAAGAATATCCTGTTTGATGTTTGCTTAGGTAATCATTTGGGGCTATTTAATGACTTTGTAATTTCATGCTTACCCATTGTTCATAGGAGATGATCATACACTAATAAGCAAGTAGTCTGTGTACATCCAATTAAAACAATGTGTTATGTGCTTTAGTTGCATCATTGCAAAATGTGGGGTCCCTTGCTCCAGAATCCTGGCTTTTGCTAGGCTGACACTGAAATGTGTACATAAATGCTTTCTGAACTAGGGTGTTCAGTCTGCTGCTTAGACAAGTCACTTGACACATTCTTCACTTTTCATTTCAAATGTTTCTGTGTTATGCTGGGAAGATGAATTGCTATATTCAGCACATTAAAATATGAAGTTCACAGTAACCAGAATGGTGGAAATCATCTCATGATAGGTCCCATTCTAAAATATATAAGAATCTTTGTCACCTCCCAAGCTTGTAAGGAGGATTTCCTTTGTAGACTTACATTTCTGACTTAAGCTTTCCTTGTAGCTTTTGCTGCTTTTGGTCTGTCAGTTGCTATAGGAACATGCGAGTGTTACCAGTGTGCATGTGGCATGTGTTTTATGGGCATTCCACAGAAAAGTTCTCTGAAGCAGATGGTTGTCTTTCATAGTAAGCTACTGAGCAAAAAAAAAAACACTTTATGTAAGATACTGTGGTCTTCTAATTTGATGAATATAAGCCTGTTGATGCATCTTACTACTAGGTTACTGTTATGAACTGCAAGAAGGATAAGTTTTTCTGAATAAATTCTTAAATAAGATTCAAGTTCTTTTAACAGGGAACAATATTAATTAAATGTGTATCATCAGTTTCGTAATGATTAGAAATTTAGTTGATTATTAGTCTGATAAGTGTCTAGTATATTTCTAGCCACACTGTGGCAGTGCTGGAGCAAAACTGACTTAACTTTTCTCTTCTTTTCCAGCTCTTATTAACAGTGTCTCCATAATACCTACACATACGAAAAAAGTGGTGTATCTTTGTCAACTTTTGATAAGAATTGCAAAGGGAAAAAACCTTGGTAAATACTCTTGATTCTTTCTCACTTGTTTAAACAGATTTGTGTGAACTTGCACAGAGGTGTATTAGGTTTTGGACTGGCTGTATTCCACATGTGGCTTAGCTGTATGCAGGACTACTGTTAATCTGTGCTGACTGATTTAGGTGCTCAGAGTTTGAATAACTATATGCTTCTTAAAATTATAGGGTTCTTTTTGTTAGAGTAGTATCAACAAAAGACATACTGGAAAAAAGATTGACTAGCTCTTAGTAATATTTGTAAGTTTAAAGCACAGAATGTGCATTTCTTTCTGCACATGTAATTTGAGGTTAAAGCAGGACAGTCAGTAGGAATAAGAATATTGATGAAGAGGATGACTGCCCTTGTTTCTTACAGAAGGCTGTAAGACTTTCAGCTGGCAGCAGGTCCTTGGGACGCTTACTCACTACCATGCCTCCTATTTGGCTGTATTTACGAATTAGTGGTTTAGCCAAGCTAATTGTGCTTCCATGCTCAAGTTTCTGGAAGACAACTTTTTTGCTGCAAGTTTTCACTGTTTGGTAAAATTCATTGGAATTTAAGGGCTTCAAAATCAGTCTTGTCAGCATGAGCATAGAAAAAAGTGTATTTTAGCCTACCTTGTTTTTATAAAATGAAATTTCTTGAAGTTGCTTGTCAGGCAGTAACACTCTTCTTGATTTAGTTCAACTTGGGAATAAAATTCTCATATTTACAATAATTAATCATTACAAATTATGAAACTTTTCTGATAATGCTTTAAAACTATATTGTTATATATAACACTTGGGAATTACTTCAATGCATGTTTTTATCAGTGTAGAGAATGACCTGTGTGGTGAGGAAAATTGCATGTGCTTCGTAGGTATTGCATCAGATGTAGTTGCACAGTGTACATGGAAAGCTAATATATTTTATGGTAGCTTTCCTAATCCTTTTCCAATTATTAAAATATTTAATCTGAGCCTTAACAGAGTAGGTTGTTTCAGATGCCAGCTCTGAGCTAAACACTTTGGGTGTACTTCATATTAAGTTTAATATTGTGTCATATTACTTGATTGAAACAATAATTAGAGAAACACAGAAGTGTTATTTTAAAAATGTGTATCTATATAGTACTATTTAAATTTTCAGTGTTAGTCTTTTACTGTAGCAGATATCAAATATGTTTTAGTATTTCAGTGTTAAATTGTTTATGTTCTGTCTGAAAAATACTTACAGTAAGGAATAAGAAGATATTGAGAGAGATTCTGCTATGATGTCACATAAAATGGAGGAATAAGTGAGACTGTAATTCAGTGTGAACATCTTGAGCTAAACTGACAGTGCCATGGGGGGAAAAAAGTCTTGTGCACCTGCCAGCTCCTACTGCATCTGTGATGTTGGCACACTCATTTGGGCAGATCTGCAATGACCAGGCTGGGAAACTTTCTAGAGTGGTGAGAGGATGGTTATTTTGCTGGGCTAGATTTCTTCCAGAACTGGTCACTGATTCTGCTTGCTGGGAGTTTGCACAAACCTTGGTGTTGGTACAGATGTACAATGACATGGGAGGTTGCGTCTGCTTTTGCAGTGACACTCCTGTGTTAAGCTGTTTGAATTTCCGTCTTAGTTTAACCCCTTAAAATGTAAGACAGGGGGGGGGGGGGGGAACCTTAAGATTGTGGTTATATTGCAAAATTAGCAGTATCAATACCAAATGTTTTGATATCTGATGCCAAGCTTTATTTAAGAGTATTATTAATGCCAGCCCAAGTACGTGATGCTAAATTTAGCACTATTACAAGTGGCATTTTAAGTGAACAATAATTAGCAGGCACACAATCTCCCTCAAAAATGTAACAGTAATGCTATTAGCAAGGGTAGGAAGAACCAGTCTCACTGTAAAGAAGGCACTTACTTCAGGTCTCTTAAACACACCTGAAGAGAGACTAAAAATTAATTGAGGAAAAAGAAACTGAGATTATATGTATAACATTATTGTATATAAGTAATGTATTTAGCTTTCTCCTTTAAGTTTTTAAACACATTTTTCTTTATTTTTTTTCCCCCTAAGAATGCCATTTTGAAAATGATGAAAGAATTTCACCTTTGGAATCTGCTCTGCTTTTCTGGACTTCACTTGAAAGGGAAGAAAATAAACTAGAAAAGCTTCATGAAGATATTCGTGTCTTGATTCAAATTCAGGTCTGTGTGACTTAATCAAAATCCTTCATCATGCTACCTATTTGTTCTGCTAAAACAAGGCTTCTTTTAAAAAAACTTAAGCTATTAGCAGGCTGAACTGAATTTTCTTAGGATGTTGTATTTTCCAGCACAGAATAAACGGATCTGTATAGGGAAACTTTTCCTATCTAAATTGTTTCCTGTTTGTTCCAGTTCAAAATTGTTTCAAAAGCTGCCAATCTGAAAAAATTAAGTATCATTTGATAACAATTTCAAAATTCTTGTATCTTGAGCTTTAAAATATATTATAGCTTTTTTTCTTAAAAGTAATTATCTGTATTAGAAGATTTTTGACTTCAAAGAGAAACATGTAAAAACATGTTGACAACTATCGAGACTGTGAAAGTCTTGTGGAAAGATGAAAGCAATAGTGTAAGTATGGGATACTTTGCATCAGTGAGGATTCTTTTAAATTCCTAGTGGAGAGATTTTAGGCCTTTATGTATAAGGTGTAATATTACTTCAGAACTAATTGTTATAACTAGATAATTGTTGGTAATTAGATATCTAACTCTCTAGATTTTGGAAGTCTTACAAAACTGTAAAAGTGTGACTTCTCTTGTTTTTTCTGGATCTCAGGTGAAATGTATTACAAGCATATCTTGTAACTATATTTGTAGATTGTAGCAGTCTATATGGAAAATGGATATTTCAAGGAGGCTGCTGAAGTTCTTGAAAGGATATATACGGACTCGGACTCCAATAAGGTAGTAACTTGTTTAACTTGCATTAAGTGCTCTCATTTTCTGAGAAGAGCAGAATGGGGTTTCCAAAGCTAGCAAATGCTACCTGCATAGCTCCTCCTAATTACTACCTATGCAGGCACTTTGCACACCCATGGCACTTGTAAATACAAAAGGAAACTTATGTCTAAGGGATTGATAGAAATAACAGGTGATGTGGGGGAGTAAAAAGCTTCTAGCAGCTGTTGTTCTTCACTGTGGGCAGCATCAATCCAAACTTCATCCCCCTTTCCCATTTCATGTGAGGAATGAAGTATCACTATAGCAATATAAAACTCCCAGAATCTGTTTTCTCAATGTAAAGACAGTATAAACATGCTGGTAGAGACATAGTAGTTCCCTACTGTGCAGTGCCCTCTATTTGTCATCTCTGTTTATTGTTCTACACACTGAAGCATTACAGGGAAGGAAAGCTTATTAGCATCCATAGTGTAGAGTGGATGTTATTATGCCTTTAGCTGGAAAAGATAACACATGTGGGTCAGGCCACCTCTGGGTTTGCTGTGGACTGCATCATTCAGAAAGATGCAAGTTTGAGTGTATATCTCTTTAAAAATAATAGCTAGTAGTACACACACCTGAATTTGCTGGGAGTGGAGAAAAGAGTAAAAGTGGGACTGCAGGCGAAAAGAAAAGAAAGCAAAAATGCTGCCTTTATCTTCTGTTATATTAGGACACATGTTCTGTGTGAATAGTAGTACATGCATAACATTCTTTAGATATGCTCTTCATTCAGAGGATTAAGATGTTCAGAAAGTGTAGGCTGTGGTAATAGTATTCAAATTCATAAGTAAAAATGCAACCTGTACACAGAGGTTAATTCTTGGCTATGTTGGTCTCTGAGATTCAGAGTGGTTGGTAGACAAAATGTGGAGTTGCAATTATCAGTGTGTCCTTAATGCTACTGTACTAAATAGTACTTTTCCTCTACTAACACTATAAACCCCCTTTGATGGAAGTGATTTTGAGGTGGCAAATAAGAAAAGAGAACCCAGTAATAAGTGGCCTTTTCTGGGTGTTTTTGCTCTGCTGACAACCCTTCTTTCAGTGTTATTTATAAAGGGAATGAAAATTAGGATCTCTGGAAAGCTACACTTAACCATTTACTGAGCACATAAAGTAACCTCCTGGTATTATGCCTAGTTAACTTTAGAACCCTTCAAACTGTAGCATGAAGTTATATAGGCATATTGAGAAAACTAATCGTCATGTTTAGTTTTGTTTGTGTATGTCCTGTTTAGCATAGATGTCAAGGTTACTGCAAGATATACTTTTGTATTGTATAAAGCTGTGCTTTTCTTAGCCTTTAAGGATGAAGCTGGCAGCTGTAATTAGAAGCAAGGATCCATATGTTCCCCTTCTCCAAAGCTTCAGTTACGATCTTTTGATAAGTAAAGTCAAGGCTTACATTGAACTTTTCATGAAAGAGAATGAAACTAACTACTTAATACAGGTATGTTAAAACTATTTTCGAAACTTAATTCAAAAGTACCTGATAAGATTAAACAGTTTATACTTTCTAGGGAGTTGTTAAGACAATATTCTGTTATTGTATTAGATGAAGAGGAAGCTTTATTTTCCTTTGGTTTGCCTTCTTAAAAAAAGGTTTAATATATGTTTAGGAGAAAAATTAGCAGGAGTAAGACGTGTCTAAAAATTTTTGTGGAAAAAAAACATTCACAACTGGTTTAGTTATGCTTTTTTCTAACTATTTTTGTAAAGAGCCCTGTCATTAGTGTATCTTTAAGAGAAGTTCTGATCTGACACTCCTTAAAAGATAATGTAACTGTATATTTAATGTTTATTTTGTTTAAGTCTATGTGACTTCTTATACTAAAACTAAGATCAACATGTTAATTTGGCTAAAAGCTTTAGGAATGTTAGAGGAGTTTGAAGATGGAAAACTATTATTGTGGTTTTCCTGTAAATAAAAAAGTTCCTTGCAAACCATCTTGCTCAAAGTGATTTAAAATAGGTAAGAGCAACATTCCTCCTCCAGTTCATCTTCAGGAGGATTGTAAAGAATTTCTTTTATGTTTACTTCCTACAAAAGAATATTGAATTACTCGATTACAAAAGCACAAACATCTAAAGGTAATAAGAAGCAAATTTTAAATAAACAAACTTGAAGTTCCTCTGGGGTTTTCATTTTCTTACCAGAAAGAACAACTAGAGAACTTATTAAATGCATTTGAAGTATAATGCAAGGAATATCTTAATGGTTTTATTCAGCTGTCAGTTTTCAACTTTATTTTTCAAGGCTATTTCTTTGAGTCTAAGAGGAGATGGAGGTTTGGAGGAGGTCTGCAACACTATAGGTCCTCTGTGGCTGCACCTCCACTGCCTGCACATCTGTGCTACTATCTGCACCAAAGTTGCAAGTCTTAAATCTGAAATCTTTACTTTGACTGAGTTACTCTGGGACATGGGGAGACAACTTTTGTGAAGAGTTCCCCCTTCTGCTATGCAATACCCAACTGTTTCCCAGAAGTGTAGCCTGAGTTGTCTACAGAAAAACACTCTAGCTTTAACTGTTAATCTCTCTTCTTTCTTCTGGTGCCATATGTAGAAGTATAACTAGAATCATAGAACAGTTTGGGTAGGAAGGGGCCTTTAGAAGTCATCTAGTCCAATCCCCCTGCAATGACTAGGGACGTCTTCAACTCAGGTTGCTCAGAGTCCCATCTAACCTGACCTTGAATGTTTTCAGGGATGGAGCATCTACCACGTCTCTGGACAAACTGTTCCAGTGTCTCACCACCCTCATCTTAAAAAATGTCTTCCTTATATCTAGTCTAAATCTAAATGGTTTAAAACCATTACTACTTGTCCTATTGCAACAGGCCCTGCTAAAATGTTTGTCCCCATCTTTCTCATGGGGCCCCCCTTAGGTACTGGAAGGCTGCAGTAAGGTGTCCCCAGAGCCTTCTCCAGACTAAACAACCCCAACTCTCTCAGCCTGTCCTCATAAGGGAGGTGCTCCAGCCCTATGATCTTCTCTATGGCCCTCTTCTGGACCTGCTTGAGCAGTTTCATGTCTTTATGTTGGCGTTCTCAGAGCTCTGGATGGGATCTCAGAAGAGTGGACTAGAGGGGGAGGATCCCCTCTCCCTTGACCTGCTGGCCACACTTCTCTTGATGCAGCCCAGGTTGGCTTTCTGGGTTGAGTCACATTGCTAGCTCATGTCCAGCTTTTTGTCCACCATAATGTGGTCTACATTGCTATACTGTTTTGTAGACTGTTTTTTCTAGGTTATTGTCAAGCTTGGAATCTACAGGATTGCAGATCCTACTGTTAATGAAGCTTTTGTACTTCAAGAAACTCCTACAGGTTAGCTGCCCTATGAATAGTCTGCAGACAATGCATTATAAGGAAAAATGATCTATAGCAAGAAGGCATTGATCTGAATTCTTCATAATTTTTGTTTATAACTTTAATTTCTTTCAAAACCTCTTATTTTTAGGGACAATTATAATTTGAAAGCTACTGTTAACTTTAAAAATACAATATAGTGGATTTAAACTTTTTTAACCTAAACCCTTTCTACCCATTTATCTGTGTGGAAACATGTCCTCACTTTCACATGTGTTTTGCTTCCATCAATCACGGTAAAAGAGCCAGTATTTTGAAAACTTACAGCTGAAAGATGTGGTAGTTTGGGTAGCTATGAAATTTAGGAGTGAAACTTTTTTCTGTGATTGGAAGGAATCTGTGACCAGAAAACCCTCCAGGATTTTCATGAATAAATGATTGAAATATAGTATGTTTTTATATTATCTGACTCATAAATGTTGAGAGATTCTGCAAGCTACTGTGAAGGACAGGTTAAGATTTCAAGAAGACTGGATGGGTGGCAGAAAATTTAACAGGAGGCAAAAGCAAGCCCTGAAGGACGAAACAGATGAAAAGGGGAGCAACTGGCTAAGTAGAAAAAGAATTAATACTGTGCCTGTAGTGAGTCTGTCAACTTTGGATCATTTTGATATTTGCGTGTTGCAAAAAGGGTCATTTCTTGGCTTGTACAGGCAGTGTTGGATGGAAGATGTAAGAAAGTTGAAAGCAAAGTGACAAGAATGACCTAATGGAGACTGATATAATTTTTTGAAGGTGGTGTTTGTTACAGCAAGTAAGTGGGAGAAATCTAGGAAAAAGTAGAAATCTTACAATCCTTTGGACATTCTATAAAGAGTAATGAACTATTCCTTCCTCTTATTGGGAATTGAGGAGAAATAATCTTAGTTTATGGCTAAAGGTTTAGGCAGGAGGTTACAGAATTCTTTTGCTAGTACAGGTCTAAAGTCTGATCAGACATGTGTCTTGAAAGTGTTTGATCCTGCCATGTGCTACAGAACTAGAGGAACCCATGAGGCCTGTCAGTTTTCAGTTTCTAATCTAGTTATAAAAACAGTCTTTGGAGTGCTTTCATAGTATTTGCAGTCTTAGTTAATGTCCACAATCTATTTCACCCATCTGTATGTTCATTTATTATGCAAGTATTCACTTACTTATGGCTATCACTAAAATTTCTCTGAGTTAGCTGAAAAAGATCTAGATTAATTTCAACTTCTCAGTAGTTTCAAAACTGTAATGTGTTTTTAATGGTAATACCTCTGAAGAGTCTGTTAGTCCTAATAGAGTACACATATTAATATTATATATCTTAGATAATATATCTAAGATATATAATCTTAGATATATATCTTAGATAACAATCTTAATTATTAAACCACTACTACTATCTAGGTATGCTGACGGGCTTTAAAATTAAAGTATCAATTCCATTTCTTATAGGCAGCCACAAAACAGGTAGAGTCTAATGGATTGGGAGCAACAGCATTGCAAAACAAAACTGTGAATGTTGAAGAAAATGACAAAAGTTATTTGGAAACAAAACGAAGGTTTGTATTAAGTGTTATACTGCTGAGGGTTGTGGTCAGACAGTAACTTGAAGCTTGCAGAACTAAGAGTAGGTAGAAGGAAGGATGTTAAATTCCAAACTGCCATCCAATAGAAAAATAACTACAAGCACATTCTCCATTTTTAAGTTTTGGCTTTGCTATGGTTGTTACTTTTGGCATTTACATCAAATAGTTTGGCATTAAGTTGTTGAAGATGCACATTTTTCAGTTTAAACAGCTGTCAGTCTCATATGACAATAAAAACAAATACTTCATGTTGTTTTTTCTTTATGCCTGACTGAGCTCCTTTTACTCCTGCCTTCTTAATTTCAGGGTATACATCTTCTAGAGAACAAAGAGAATGAGAAAGGGAATCAGTCTTTAACTTTTTCCTTGCAGCTAAACATAAGATTCTCTTACTGGTATTAGTGTGATGGGAAATAGTTACATTGCTTCATGATTCTGGCAGTGTGAACCCTCAAAACACTTACATGCTTTTTTAAGAAATGCTGGGAGAGCTTGAAGCCCAGTTCCTTCCCCTGTCCTTTGACTTTATGGTGAAAAATACCACATCTTCTTTTTCATTGGGAGTAAACTGTAGTCTGTAGTTGGGATAGAGCTTGTATTTCTGCTGTTTTATACTTTGAATACTTGGCATCATATAATTAAGGAAATTTGACTGATACAGACAGAATATACAGGAAGACAAGTTGTAAGATGATTTTTTTTTTTTTTTTTTAGAATGGCATCTCTTGACACAATTACATCTGAGAGGTATGATGAAAGACTTGATGAAAAAACATATGGAAACAATTCCTGGATTGTGAGGAAGATATGAAAAAATAGATCTGCAAAATGCCTTGTGTCTTCAAATTGAATGTGTAATACCATGTGTATTTCTTCTCCAGTTATAGGGAGGCAAGGTTAAGAGGGTAAATGGATTGAAGCAGTTAGTGTTTGTATGTCATTGTTTCTGTAGAGAGATCTTAGGATTTTCTTTCATTTAAATATTGTGGAATCACATAAATGGCAAGTTGCTGCCTAGGAAATTTATTTTTGGCTTTTTTAAACATCAATGAAAGAGCAACAGAGCATTACAAATCAGTAACCTGGGTCCATAAAAAAAAAAAAAAAACACAGTAAGTTAAAAATTACTGTTGTTCTTGCTCTTAGTCATAGACATTTCATCGTTTTGTGTATCATTACTTCAGCTTTATATTCCCTGCAGGCCTCATTTAGGACAGAAACACAGAGAGAGAAGTGTTCTTCAGAGTGAGTATTAGCTTATTTTTACATTTTTTCAAAGTAGTCATGTCAAATGCTTTCTTCATTACGTCCCCACAGTAAATGGGTTGGTGGTTTGATAACTGCTGTCTGATGTGATCAGATAATATAAAAACAGTTGTGGTGGAAAAAAATTTCTCAATTGTTGTGTGTGGTTTCTGCACAAATGCAGATTTGGTGGTTACAATGTTCAGGAAGCTATAAAATGGCTTAAGGCTTTCTGGCAACTCATTTTGCAAAATCATTCACTATTTTCTGGTTTGCTTGAGGTTTTGTGTTCTTGTTTGCTTTACTGCGATTTACAGTATCCAGTGCAAAAGAAAGCTGCCAGAGGAATACTCAAACTTGTCTGTTTCTGACTTCTGACCCAGATAACTTTGGGGTGAAAGAAGTAAAGAGGTTGGACAATTGGAAAAACAGATTGTAGTATAAAATACAAAAATTTAGGAGGTTTGTGCATCTTCCTGGTATTACTTTTTAAGAACTTATAACATGGATTATATAATAAAGTAGGTTCTGAAGACCGTTAGCACCGTCTTACCACAGTGGGGTGACACTGTAGCTTCTGCATGTGGCCATGTTGTACTTGGAATGACAAACTCTTAAGATGCCTTGGATGCTTGCTTTAGTTAGAACCTGACACATGTTCTATAGAAAGGATGGAACCTGCCTACAAAGTATCACAGCTCTGATTGGTGGTTAGTTTGCATTCTCTGTGTGAAATGAGAGCAGTGTATATAGTAAAAATGTTTTTACCAAAATGAAATAACACTGTTTCATTATTATGTACCAAACTTTACCTAATTGTGTAAATATAATTTTCTGTTAACTCTGTTGCATAGAAAATATAGTGACTTTTTTGAACAGACTATTTTTTGAGTCCTTGGACTAAGGTGACATTCCTGTGTATATTCATATACTTTTATATATGCATATAAACAGACACTGAAATTTGCCTAGTCTGTCAAAGCATATCAAAATAGTGCATGTTCTTGTCTCATGTAAATGGTAGAATGCAAAACTGCCTTAATGTATATAATGGATGTATATTAACTGTCTTCTAGGTCTGAACAGCTTGCAAAATTTGGAAGCACATGGAGATGCTTTAGCTTCTGGACGAAGAAGACAGGTTTGTACTCATTCTCTAGTCTAAATGGAGATAAAATTAATCTGTATTACATAGTGTTGGAGGTTAAGTGTTTTTCCAGCTTCATTTGACTCTCCAAAATGCCTGGGTTTAGGATTCTCCCTTACTCAAATTGTGCTATAGCTCTTGAAACTGTTTAAGTTCTAGTTCATGTCCTTAAAAAAAAAAAAAAAAAACACACCACACACCAAAAAAACCCAACCTTTTTTATGCAGACTCATTTATTGTTGCTAATGCGCAGCCTTTAATTTGTTGAAATACACTGTTACTAAAGTTTAGTCTGAGTCTTTAGTCTTTTTTTAAATGTGAAAAAAAATGCAAAAATTCTTAATCCAAAGATTAAAGAAATTGGCATGTCATTTGCCCATGAGAGTTTGGGGCGAACATCAAAGATTGTTTTCCCAATTAGAAGGTTAAAATTCAGCAATTTTATAATTCAATACGTTGTTCATATGAGGTGAAAACATATATTTACTTGAGCAACCATTCTAGTTTTTATAAACCAAATAGTCTTTTTTATAATGTTACACTTCAAATAGTCCTTTGCATTCTCTTCATGGGTAAGCCTACTTCATTGAATTACTTTAAAACAATTCTTCTATATTCACTAATGATAGAATTCCTTGTTGGTGGGAAGTACAGAAGTCTGTGCCTTAACAGAAGGAAATTCAAAGTTGATTTGATGCTGAGGTGAATTGGTGCAAACTGATTTTTACACATTGCCAATTTTCTTGAGTTATGATAAAATGATAAACACTTCTGAAGGGAATTAATATTAAATCTATTCCCACTGTGAATTCCTCTTAAGAATATCTCTTAGGAAGTAACATGGAGTCTTTCTGTTTAGATAACAGTGCACATTCCCAACATGTGTCCATTTTGGTGTTTCATTTTTCCGGTGTTAATTTTGACATTTCATTTTTCATATAACAGGGAAGGACAGATGTGCTTATGTTTTTTGACTGCCCTTGAGAGTTGTACTACTAGTTCTTTAAGCATTTTTACTGAAGTACTGGTTAAATCTTTAGTTATATGCTGTCCTTTGAATTGGTTGAGCTCCTAATGGGAGCTCATCTATCCTTGGAGGTTAAGCCCCCTGCTACTCATAAACAGTTTTCACTTTCTCACAAATCTCAGGAATAGTTAAATCACTGAGAGTGTCCTTTAAAAGCTGCAAATAAAACCAGAAAAAATCAGCACTTGCTGGATTTACTTGTTGCCTTCAAAATACTTATACTTGGATAGGTACCTTGTCAGCCAGTTGCTGTTAAGCATGCACACTTTCACCAATCTTGTTTTCAACACCAAGATTGAAACTAATTGGACCACAGCTGACACAGAGCTAATGACAGCTTTATATTCACCTATTTTTGTTGAGGTAGTCTGTTACAGGGTGAGCTACAAGCACTGTATCCAGGTCTAGGCCTTCTGCACACAGATTGCTAGAAAAAATAGATGTCATGTGGTTAATTCTGTTGCCATAGTTCAAGCTTAATTGAAATGTAAAGACTAAATTTATAGAAAATTACATCTGATAGCAGTGAATAACTCACTAAAAATTTTATGAAAACTTGAAAGATGTTAAGGTTCAAAATTATGTTTCTTTAAACACTTCAAATTCAAAGTAGGCATTTGCTGTCTCTGGTATTTATTCCATATTCTTGCCAGTGAGACCTCTTATAAATATTGTATAGAAAGCAGTGATAACTGGCCTTTTAAACAATAAATCTGATCCTCTGCTTAATAATCTGGGTTATAAAATTGTCTGCATGCATGAAAGAATGCAGTGAATGTCAGAGCTGTTGACTTCTAGAACTTCCTTTTCTATGTAGTCCCTCTTTCAATGTTGGCATTGTTTGCTCTTGTTTTGTAAATGGCACTTCACTGCAATGGTTCAGTGCCTGTTTTCAGCCTTTCATTACTGTGTTTTCAGTTAGCTGCATACAACAATCTGCAGTGCTATTAAAAGAGTGTACTTTATTTTCTCATTGCTAAATTAGGGGATACAAGTGTCACAGAATTTAGAGAACTGTTTGTACTCAACTTTATATCCTGTATGTGTATGGCAAGTCCTGTGAGTTGTCTGAAATCTGACTGACAGTTTGCTTTATGTGTCTGAAAATCTGGGTTTTGAAAATTTAGTCACACTTTTATGGAGGGGGAAAAAAATCCATATATTTTAAACTTGGAGAAAAAAAAAAAATCAGAGTCCCAGAATGCACAATCAAAAGAAAACAATCAGTTCCACTCTAGTAACCTAAGGAATAACAAGATCTTTAGATATGTGAGGGTATGTCTACACAGTCTATCTGGCAAACTCAAGCTTGCTCTGCCAACATTGAGAGCACCAAATGTCACATTGCTCTGGACTAGGTGCTGTAATTATGTTAGCTCAAGCATAGTGCTGCATTATGTCCAGTCTCCCAACCAGTCTTGGTAGCTCTTAGCGGTACAATGCATCTATGTATCTGCCATCCCAGGAGGCACAGGCAGTTTGGGTGGGGAGGTGGTTCAAGTTACTGCTCTATGTAGTTCCTCAGTGAAAAGAAAATTAGTATCTGGTTTACCTGTAAGGCAGGCTCCTCATTTACATGTTATACTGAAGAAATATCTTTTAAAAAGAAAGCTCAATATAAGCAATTTAAAAGCAAACCAAGCAAAACCCAACCCTTTTAACTGCAATGTAATTAATCATTAGAACAAGTGACAAGGGTTGTGTTTGTCTCTGGTGGAAGTATTTGAATTATCTAGTGCTGTAGGTCAAGCATAACTGTTTCTTGAATAAAGATTTTGTTTAGGAAGGTTTTCAGGCATGCTCCAAAATGAGGAAAAACTAGATGGTTCCAATTGAATCTCTGGCCTCTTAATAGTAAAAAACCCCACCATTCACTGCTAAAGAGCAAAAGCTCTGTGGAACAGAAGTATTGGAGAAAGGAAGTATTTTTGATAAAGGGTAGACTAGAGAAATTTTAGGTTTCTAACTGTTTAGAAACACAGCTGAACTACTACCACTCTAATTCTTTCACTGCTTAGTGAAGTTTATCAGTGATCATAGTTTCTTGAAGAGGCACTTATTCCAGCTTAATGCAACTAAGTCCAGCTTTCAGATGTGAAGTTTGGTCTTCATGTACCTCAGCTTGTACTTTGTGTAGATGCCAAATTTTTGTTGGTTGTAGAACAACCACAGTAAGATTTTGATCTGGCTGAATGTTATCTAAGTTCCTTCTTCCACCTTTTACCTCTTGAGTGCTGCGGCCACTTTTGGCAGCTTAAATTCAAGGGAAGGGAGGAGCCATGCAGAGTGACACTCAAAATTGTCACCTGGTCCATCCCTAGTGAAATTGTTGTTGCTTTTAAGGATCCCCCAAAAGGTTTTCAGGTCATCAAGAGAAAGTTTTAAAAATTTTTTTTTTAAATTTCTATGGATGAGGTATTTAATCTGATTCATCCTTGGGTACATGGGCCTTCTGTGCCACTGTCAATCATAATGGCAGGCCCTGGATTGTCCTGCCCAGGCACCCTTTGAGCATGAGCAGGATGGTATGCATTTGTCTAATGGTAGCAGCCATGTGGTTTACATTTCCACTGGATATGTTATTTGCGAAGTTAAGTGATGTTTGTTCCCCTGTAATTCACAGATTTTTATCTGCATTACACAGTTCTACTAGTTGGCTTTATCAAGTTTAAATTTCTGTAAGTTGAAGCACTTCCTTTTCTACCCAAGTCCTCAATTTTGGAATTTCTGATTGTAAAGGTCAGCTGTAGCCTGATTCTTCTAGGTTCCCTCCTGCTTTATAGCCAATGCCATTTACCCATTTGATAGTTGGAAGTGATCTGTTACTTATAGGAGGTGGTCTTGTACATGCTCTAGTAAACTTCTCATCCACCAAACTACACAATCTAGGCCTTCAGCCCTTTACATCGCCTATTGTTTTTCTACTGTTCTATAAAAACATCCTTCCCACTGTAATCCAGTTGTTCCAATTATCTTGAAGATTTATTAGCACAGGTCCCTTTTGGGAGTCTGCGTAACGCTCCACAGGTTTGGTTATAAACTTACCATTGTAGACACATCAGCAAAGAGTTGTTCCCCTAGTACATAACTATTACATACATTTAACCTCAGGAATACTCAAACTCGACCAAATTCTTCTGGCTACAAAGATGTTAAGGGACATTAGGAGTAGCAAAGCTGAGCACAAATCTCAGAACACAGATACAGCCAGTCTCAGGCTGCCATGGATGAGGTGCTGCCCCCAGCAGCACCCCCACACAGTACCCATGTAAGATATAAACACAGGTTTATATCTCTTCTCTGTCAGGTAGAGGTGTAAGTTCACTGGTGGAAGCACACACATGCCTCTCTAGGTTCACAGGCAGGCAAATGCTTGCAGATGCCCAGGTATGGGCACAGCCCCTCTGCCTGCCCCCTACCCCTGCCTGTATCCTGGCCCTCCTACCTGCTTCACAAGTCCTTTACTTGCAAACTGGTGCAGCTAGATGCACCAAACACTAGTTCTGACACACGTGTTCCATGGGCACTTCATGTTCTGGTTGTACTCCAGTGTACACTTGCAAGATGTCTTTTTTTTTTTAAAAAAAAAAAAGTGAAATTTTCACTCATTTGAGGACACAAAGGAAAGGCAAAGGGGGCCTGTGCTGCCTGGGTGTCAGCTTGCTGTCACTGCTGCCAGGCTGACCATCCAGCCTGGTGATAACTAGAGACTCAAAGGAAAAGCTACAGCATGCACAAGGGTTTCTCCTGGTCACAACATCTATCCTGATCTCACTGTGCTCTCTGGGACTGTTAACATCAGGTCTCGAGGAAGCTCATACTGGAACTGGAGCCAGGGGAGGGTATAACTGGCAGTCCAGGACCAAACCTCCACACCTTGCCCTTCCAGCCAAGTTAAGACCAATCCCTGCCTGGGCAGCTGCATGTGGCTTCAGCCCTGTCCTGAACTTGCCTTGTTTGTTCCACGTTCCATGCTGCAGGAGCCTATAGATGGCCCTTGGCTGAAGCCCCAGGAAAGATTTCAAAACATCCTTTACCTTTCTAAGCGGTAGCAGGGAGCAGCATGTGGTCTGCTTGAGTGAAGCATTCATAGCACTAGATGCTTTCATGGAAATAATATGAATAGCAGTTTAGATCAGGTCAGAGCAGCATGGTTTATTGCTGTGGCTATAGGAGAGGACAGGGAGTAGCACAGCGATGGCCTCTGCTGATGTAAACCTTGCCCCGCTGGGGCAGCTACAGAGTTCTTATAACTTTTACATGCTGTTTTTTGCCAAAACTGTGTTAGATAAGCAGCATATGGTACATAACAGCAGCAAATGGAATTCACCAGACAAGGAAGCTCTAGATGGTATATCCTCACTCCTTTATCAATTAAATCCTTCTGACTGGCAAGACTATTAGCTGTAAATGCTTACAGACATATAACTGCAAGTAATTTTGTCTCTTTATGAGAGAAATGTCATCACCTAAATACTAGAAAGTTCATATGTCATGACTGAGATTTAAGTAGTGGGCTCAACAAATGGCCAAAACCAAATGCATAGCTGTTACCTGAGGATGTGGCTGATCCCACTTTCAAATGCAGTATGTATCATTTTGTTTCTATCAGCATTTTAAATATTAGCATTTTTTTTTCTAAGTGTACTGAAATTCCTTTGTTCTTGGTAAGTGGTGTCTTGATTATTAGTCCCTAGGTTAATGTGTTACAAAATGCTTTCTCTTTTGTGATGCATAATAGGATCAGTCAAGTTTTGTCTTGACTAATAAAGTACAATTTTGGAAAGCCTGTTCTGAATGAAGCAAAACTTTGCCCACTATCTTTTGTCTTCCCTTTTCCTCCTGTAAACTTGTGAACACTGAAGCATGTCGTTCTTGTTCCAGGTGATGTCTGCTACTGTATTGTACCACTTGACTTGGTAACCTTTGTTGTTTTATTTGGTGTCGTTATGGTGCTCAAAAGAAAATGACCTACTGACCCTCAGATATCTTTACTCTGTCTAAAGAGCTGTATGAGAGCTTTAGACACCTGTATAAAAACTTGCTTTTATATTTGCTATAAGCTTAGCTCTTTTAATATCTTTCTGTTCATATATCCAGTATTTTTCTCTGTTCTTCCCCTAGCGATGGACTTACAAAGAAGACTTGGAACTGAAATCAGGAATAAGGAAGTTTGGAGTGGGTAACTGGGCTAAAATTTTGGTCCATGGTGACTTCAACAACCGAACTAGTGTCATGTTAAAAGACCGGTGGAGGACACTGTGCAGGATCAAATAAGACTGATTTGGATTACAGAAATTGACTCTTCTTGACCTTTCCCTACATAAGGACCTAGTCTAGCTTTTCAGAATAATAATTTGTTTTAGTCTCAAAGTGTCCGGCAGTGTTGCTGTCCTAAAACATGAAACAGAATAGCAATAGGTATAAAATGTTCGTGTAAGCTCACTTGCTTGGGTAATGATGACTTAAATGTAAAGCCTGACCTTTTATACTCATGCAATAGATGACCTAATTTCTAAAACGTGAAAATGCTTGCAGTGATTTAAGAAAGGTCAGTTATGTGCATAGGGGTACTAAATGCCTGGCAACATGTTTAGCTTGATAGAGGCTAATACAGAGTAAAGTGTTTTGTATTTTTAAAGGGTTGTATCTCTAGTCACATAGAACTTTTTATAATTTTACTTCTTGCCATGTAATACATGCAAATTCGATTTCCTTCACTTTGAAATTTTGGTCAAACTTGTCATCTCTGTCAGTAAGTTATACCAAAAAATATGTAGGTATTGGTAATTTTACAAAATTACTCCTTTTTTTGGTAGTTAAAAATGTAATAGTCCTTGTAATTTTATATTTATAAGTAGTAAAGGTGATGTGGGGTTTTTTAAAGAATTAAGCTTAAGCTCTAGGTGGAAGATTATTTTGAACTTGTGTATATCAGCATAATTGAACTCTCAGAAGAGATGGAAAACATATGGAAAGTAACAGTATGATACTAACTCTTAACATCTCTGATTATCTTGTGCCACCTACCTTGTTTTGAAAAGTGACTTGTTCTAAACCAGCCAGAAAGGGAGAGCTCAAAAATGAATGGCCAAAGTGGTCTCTGTAGTGAGTCTATGCCAACACCTAGCACAGCTCACGAGACATGTCTCATCTAGGCTCTCTGCTGCCTCTGTCTTCAGTGACAGCGAGCAAAGATACACTCTGATGGGGGTAACTATCAAGGTGTCTGTTGGTCACTGTAAATGTCCTGCTTACCAGAGACTGCAGCAGATGGATTGTGGTACTACGTTGTCTCTCTTGATTCAGATCATGTGGAGTAGAGTTCCACAACCTCAGAAAACTCATACTTTACACTTTCATACTGGTGTGAAGTTAGTGACTTGGAACTAACGTATTGCAGCACTTAAAAGTGAAATCTCTTCAGATGTTTTCTGTACCTTTGTCCTTGATTAAGGTTTTTATTTTACAAGAACCTTACAAGGAAAAGTATCTGTACAAACTGGTTATAATAAAATAAATGTTTTGGATGTGTTTTTCCTGGCTACAAAGGAAGAGATATATTCTTGAAGACTGAAATGTTCAGGAAGTATTAAGATAATCTCTCTGCTTTCTGTTTTAGGGGCCTACTTCCATTAAGGTAAAATGGTAAAAGTACAGTTACAAAGGTTTGTTTCTTATTGTGGACAGGACCTCAGACAGATCACCCTCTTCATTCTTGCCACCAGATGCTATGGTTTCTTCTTGCAGCTGCTAGAAACAGAGAGCTGCATGTCTTAACAGTAAATTTACTCAACCTTAAGGCCTAATTTCTTTTTAGCAAACATTGTGAATTTCAGGATCTTGATAAAATACAGACTTTGTGCTTCAGCAAGGAATGCTAGTGCAGCTATAAGCTAACAATTCAGAAAGTCATAGCAGCTATCTGACAAGTGAGGAAATGCAGTATGCAACCTCTTTAATGCTGTAACAATATTTCAAGGTAAGTAACAGGTAACAAAACAAGGATTTGAGCTACCTGCATAGCAGTCTTGCCAGTGCTCTAATACTGCAGGTTTCTATGTTAATCATTGTATATGAGCAGTTTTAACTAGTAATAAGTAATCTTATGTTAGGCAATGCTTTAGTCACAAAGTCTTGTTTAGGTTTGTCTTCCATGAAGTTAACACCGTGTATTACCGACATGAAATTCTGAGCAAGACTGCTTTTTTAACAGTGCTGACCTGTCACGTCTTTATGAGGGTGGCTGAACATGAAAGCTGCAATATAGAGGAAGAGTACTTATCCACTTGTAGTATAAACAACTGTCTAGATGATATTTGGAAAGAACAAAGGATGTAAACAAATCTGATTTTAGCTCTCAAACTTTCATTTTTATTCACGCTTGCTAATTCAGTGATGACAGTAAGTAACTATTCTCAGACTTGAGAATGTTTGGCTGGCTCACTACTGAGTAGGAGCAATGCCTGTAGACAGGACTGTGGCCAGTAAAGAATTTCAGGAAAAGCAGCTACTACAGTTAGAAACATTAGCTCTTTAATTACAAAATAGAAACATGGAAACATGCTTCTAGTGCTCTAATACAGTCTTAGTGCAGAGAGAGTTTCCCAAAATGATTCTTCCAAAGTTCTGACTCCTTTAAAGTTTGTTTAGGCTCCAGAAAATGCAGCAGAAAGATGTAGTTTTCTTGGCATTGGTGTTATTTTTCTTAATATTTTTTAAACTTTTATGTAAAAATAAAGCTATGCACTAGGGGACATGAACAGTGCTCCAGTTGCCGAATCTTCTTCCAGGTTCCTTGGCACTGAGAGTTGCCAACTGCTTCCCAGTGTAAAATTTTACTTCTGAAATGTGACAGTAAATGAGGAATTAAAACACTGAAAACTATTTCATGTTACTAGGTTGTGTTGTATAACATGTCAGAAGACTACATTTGCTTAGTAATGTAAGACATTAATTAGCTCATCTAGCTGTTAAAATGCTTTCTGGAGCAGGCACTATATTCCTGAGTATACATGATGGTGGACTGAGTAGCTGGTTGTACTGGAATTAAGTAGTATGTGTATTAATAAATGTATGTAAATAGATCAAATAAAATTCTGTTCTGAGTATTAATTGTCTATTTTCAAAATTACTATGCTAGAAACCAGGTGTATAGGTTAGAGAAGAGTACTGATCCACGACTGTGAAACCTGAAATCAGATTTGGTTTATGGCAGGAAATACCATTTTTAAGTAAAAGTGCCCATAGCTGTAAAAAGACCTCTTGGACTGCAGAAGTTGCATCATCCCTTCACAATAGTAAGTAAAGTATTCAAAGCACTGACATATTAAAATTATTTTCCAATTTTATCTAGGTTTTAAAAGCAATTTCTGTGAGACCTGAAAGGGTAAATCTGAGCTCTACAAGTCATATGAGCTGTTTCATTTTTTAGGTATAATAAATGCAGCTTTTGATGAGACTTTGAGAAGTCATAACTTCTGTACTGGGTTTTGCTACAGAAGAGACAGCAGAAAAATGGCTTTCTTTACCCATCTGCATTATGGCCATCTCCAGAACACCGATGTGTGTCAGTATTCATAGCTGGAGGCTGACAAGCTACACAGACAGTATGTCCTTCTCGTAGGTACTGCATCCATCGAGCGTACGGCCGATTCTCCAAAGCACAGTGGTGTGAAAGTGATTCTGTTTTAAATTCCACACAGTATCTGCTCAGAAGGAAAAGTACTGAATTAGTTATGATAGATGAAGCACAAGCTAGGTACACACTTCAGATGTGCTTACATATCATACAGGTAGTTATTTGTAAAGTGCAAGTTAGGCATCATCATTGCTAGCCAGTCTGTTTCTGACCCTAATCCAGTTAATGGATTCTTAAAAACATCAAGCAAACTTTTTCATTCCATGCCCCGGTCTGGTGCTTTATGTATAATCTCACTTTCTGGTTGTGTTCTGTATTCTTAAGTTACGTTGAAAAACAGATCTTGGTAACCCATATTTTTCTTCTATGCTGCTAAAAGAGAAAATGGAAAAGAAGCTTTAAGGATACTGATGGGCTTGCTTTAGTGTTCTGGGGAAAGCAGCATGAAACAAAGCATTATGAGCATTACAGACCCAGTAATAGCCTAATTTAAATTTCATAACCATCTCTACTGGTAACCAAACAAAATTTTTTTACTGCTTGTGTCAATTTAAAAAAAAAAAAAGTCTCCTGAGACTGATCACATTCAGCTGATTTTGCTTGTTCAGAGACCTCTGATTTCTCAGACTTACAGATACATTCAGCTTTGGTTTAACATTATTTGCTGTTTGCTTTCAAAAGCAGCTATCTTCATATTTGCCATAATCCTAATGTCTAATTTAGGACAATTAGCAAGTAATAAATAATATCTAGAACATGCAGATGAGCTGCAGGAGAAAAACAGTACAAGCGATAGATTATTGTTTAATTATTGCAAGTTTAATTACGTTTTTCTCTGTAGCCAGCTGTTTTCTATAGAACAAGATGACGCACATACATAGGATAAATAGATTACCCAGCTGCCTCTTTGTCTGAAGGCTGGAGAGAAGATGCTGCTCGTCGTTTTCTTTCTTTATTGTATTCAGAGGTAGTTATGAAAGCAGGGACTGAGGAAAAAAACAGTTACAGCAAGGCAGCAAGACACAATTGTTTAGTATTCCAATTACTGTAACGGTGAATGAATCAGGAGCTTGTGGATGGTGATGCTGGCTGACTACTGGAAAAGTGGCAACATCAGACCTCAACCCTATAGCTAAGCTCTCTCCTTATTCAAAAGAAATATATACAGAAATGCATGCCATCTAGTCTGTGAGGAAATAGGATGTACTGGAATCCTACAAGGAGTTCTGTTTCCTGGTCATACTGAATTTGTGTTGTAACTTTGCACAGAAATTGTTTGATAATTACTGAGGGGCTTAAATCAAGAAACTGAAGGAATGCATGCAGCTTTGTTACTTAATAGAAATTAAGAAAAGCCTGAGTAGGAAAAAAAAACCCGTAAGAACAGAATAAAGAGCAATATGACAGTAGAAAGTAAGGTCTTAAATTGTTTTTTTAACCAGCTAGCTACAGATAGATGCTTTTTTTCTGTTCACTGACATCAGTAAAATTTATGGAGGCCCTGATGGGCACAATGTACAGACAAATCAAAGAGAGAATACCATGTTCGTGGCCGCAGTCCTCTCCCTGGTAAGTCAGGTATTCCAGGCAGCCAGCCTTCTCCTCTAGAGCAGGGCAAGCTTCCCCACCATTTTTAGGTTCCTGTTGTACATAGCGCCTACGTATCCGCAGATCGGGTTGGCATTGTTCTGCACAGCCGCTCCAATGGCTCCACTCTCCCACAACGCATGGAAGAGCTGCAAAGCAGTATTAAAACACTACTAGTAGTCAAGAGTTCTGTTTTATCCTAATTGCTCTCAAAAGCTTGAGTAATGAGACAGTGTCTAGGTTTTTTCTTTCTTATGTACTTTTATGTATAAGGTTTTAAATGCTCTTCTAGGGGTTTGCATCTTCAAATTTAGCATTCAAACCTGCCGGCAGTGCTTGGCTTCCTATTCCTTCCCTTGACTAGAAAGAAACAGCTCCTCATGGAAACCCTTCACTACAGCTGTGGGGTGGTTCTGTCACCTCTTCTGAAGCATACAGTTCTAGTCTCACAGGAGACCAGCTCATGGATAATCTAGACCAGTGAGAGATCTGACCTACCTTGGCAGTTCCTACACCACCAGATATTGTTTAAAGGCTGGAACATAAAGTATCAGAATCCAGGAAGCCTGTCAGCCATCTTGTTATGGTTTGAGCTCAAAGGGCAACTGAGCATCATGCAGCCATTCACTCCCCCCTTCCACCCCAGCGCTGGGAAGAAGAAAATAAAGCAAAAGGTTTGGGAATCAAGGTAAGGACAGGGAGGGATGATTCACCCGCTACAGTTATGGGCAAAAGACAGACTCATTAGGGGAAAAAAAAAGAACATAAATTCAATACAGACATTAACAACAACAACACTTAACAGACAGAGTAGATCCATGAGAAGCATTACCACATCTTAAAAACACCTTACTCTCAGCCCTCCTTTCTTTCCAGGCTCAGCTTTGCTCCTGATACCGCTACCCCCAGCAGTGCAGGACGCAGGGAATGGAGGTTACTGTCAGTCCTGCCGCTGCTTTCTCCTTGGGGGGTGGAATTTGCATTCTTTCCCTGGACCAGTGTGGTTCCCCTCTCACAGGACACAGTCCTCCAAAAACTGTTTCCGACATGAGTCCCTCCTGTGGGTTGCAGTGTTTCCCATGCTGCTCCAGCATGGGTCACCCCCACATGTTGCAGTCCTCCCAGTGCTGAACTACAACAGTGGGGATTTCTTCTTCAACAGTGTCCCAGCCTTCTTCGGGCACAGTCACCTGCTCCAGCATGGAGTTCTCCACAGGCTGCAGGTCAGCATCTGCTCCACCGTAGACCTCCATGGCTGGCAGGGGGGCAGCCCTGCTTTCTCACCACAGGCTGCAGGGTGGGTGGGGGCTCTGCTCCAGTGCACCTCCCCTGCTTCCTCCTCCTTTCTTCTACTGACCTCGGTGTTTGCATAGGAGTTCTCACAGCTCCTCCTCACAATTCCAACTCATTCTCTCAGATTCCCCTTCTGAAATATGCTATCGCAGAGGCACTGCCACCATCACTAATTGGCTCAGCCTTGGCGCAGAGCAGGTCTGACTTGGAGACGGGGGAGCTTCGAGAAGCTTCTCACAGGAGGCTATCGCTGTAGCCCCTCTCCCACTACCAAAAACCCCCATCAGACACACAAACCCAGCACACCTCTCGTTTCCCCTCTGATTTCTAATCCCTTTTCCTCAACACTGAAATAAGTTTTACTCCCACAGCTTTGTTGCTCTGTTTTAACACAAGGTGTCCCGCTCCACAACCCTCTCTGCAAAGACAATTTTTGGTGATAATTTTGGTATAATTTTGGTAATTTTCAGAACAATGCAGGGATGTGTATGGAGTTCTGTTTCTGTGTATGTATAGCTGCTGATATCGATAGAGCTGTACAATACAGATGTTTAAACGTACTAAATAAAACTGCAAAAATGTGATTTTAAGGCCCTCTTTCGCTCATTCCCAACTATAGAATAGTCCATTGGATATTTTAATTTTAGTTCTCACAAATAACAAACTTCCTCTGAACTTGACCAAAACATCATGGGGAAAGTGTCATTATATTGAAAGTAAACTTTGAATCATAAGAGACTGCATTTTCCTCAAGCAGAGCATCAATATAGTACAGGTACCAGACACTTGTACCTTTCATCTCTCCTAACCCAGCCTAACAGTCAGAGGTAGAAATAACTTCTCTCTTCATCTGTTAAATATATACTAATTATATTAGTATATTATATTAGTATAACTATACTAAATATAAACATATATTAGGTGAAGGACTCAGATAAAGAAAGAAAAATGCTTTGGTTTGTATTCTGTGGTATTTTTCTGGCAATTGTTGAAACCTTTAGCCCAGTTTATGGCCTTTGACACCTTTTTGCTTAAATAACATGCAGGTTCCTTAGAAAAAAACTAAATCATCATATTATGTAGAGAATGACCCTTTATTTCATGTTTGTCACTTTTTGTAACCTTTCCAGGAGAGATGTAAATGATTGATAGACTAAGCATCAATTAGTTTTGGTACTGTCTTGAAACTCAGAAATGCTCAGATCTATCATTTGTTATCCACTAGCCATTTCCTTCCTTATTTTATTCTCTGCAGAGCATCTAATAATGATGTCATGCATGCTCCTTGTAGTTCTCATTTATATAATATTAAGCATGATATGCATTTTTCCAATCTATAATTCTCCCTTCTCTTGCATTTCTCACTCATATTCTGGCAAGACAGTAGCTCTGTGTCAACCTTGCTACTGTAAGCATGGACAATACGTCAGATATCTTACAGGTGGATACAAATAATCTACTCTTGAAGAAAAGGTTTTGCAGTCTGATTCTCAGAATACAGAAACAGGTGATGGGCACATTATTCCTGAGTAAGAAGCTATGTAACACACAAGTCTTCACTTCATTTGTCCATTAACACAGTACACATCAGTAAAAACCATGCAACCACTTCACATGTTTCCATGAAACTGAATTTTGCTTAGCTTCATCTCCAGGAACAACAAATCTCAGGTTTTGAAAACTGTGTGACCTTACAATTTCACTTGTAGCAGTCAAAATGAATACTATCAGCTTTTCAAAACTGTATTGAGCACTGACACCTGAGGGGCTGGATGATCTCTGTGTGCTTACTGATGGAACAAAGTTGGAAGCTCCAAAGTCTACACAGCCTCAGCAGGCAGAGCAGTGAAAGAACAATAAGAAAAATGTCTCACACATGGGCATTCATCAAGAGAAAGAATCCTCTGAGGATAAGCAGTCATTTCCTTACACGAGTAGTCCTCAACCCGTGGCCTATGAGGACATTTAATCTGACCAGTGGTCCATTCCCAGTAGCCTCTTTTCCTGGAGGCCACCTGGGAGGTGCTCCAGGTCAGGCAGCCACATGCCCCAGGGCTGCTTCCCCTCTCATCAGTGAGTCCAGAGGGAATGTCCTCTGCCTGGACACCAGCAGCAGCACCAGCTTTCCCATGTGTGCACGGTGTGCTGCTGGGCAAGCAGGGCACGGACACGTCTGCAGTTTTCCTTAATGATTAAATGAGACAAGCAATCAAAACACTGCAGTACTGTGTACTAGTCCGTGCTGCTTTCCCTAGTATCATTACCTGCTTTTTGTCCTCTGATGAGCTTGCTTTTTCAATAAAGTTATAACTAATGTCATGCAGTTGAAATACTAGTACATAATGTCTTATAAAAAACTGAAGGTGCCTATGTTAATATTAGAGTTTCTTATTGATATGGAAATTCCCCAGTTCTTCAAAGGCTTGTTTTCAATGCACATTGTAAATAGGCTTAAAATTATTTTCCATGTAGTGTGAATCACATTTTACTTTGCTTTTCCACTCATTTATAAAGGCAGGTCTTCAACATGATACTTAGAGAATGCTACAAAACATACATTGTAATCAATGGCTGGGCTATCTTAAATTGGTTCTGAATTGTTTTGGGTCATGCCTCTCATGATCTAGTTAAATGAATCATTCTTCCTTTCCCATGTACACTGTTTCCCATTAGCTTGTAATGGAACATGTTGCATGGTTTTGACCTTTTTTTTTTTTTTCTATATATTTCCTGATTACAATTTAAATCCCCAAGAAGCTTTACAGCTTAACCACTAGTTACATACTTGTATCACGGTTGCAGGAAAGTGATGGGACCAAACTAGTGTTTCAGAAAAACATTTTATGCCCTCTGGGATTCTGCCAGTACAAGACATTGGAAAGGAGTAGTAACCTATGATAACCTCTTTGGTGTTTGTGACTCTTTTCGTAAGACACAGAAATTGCTGGGTTTGCTCTGTCACTACATCTCTAACCTCTTGGAGCACTACAGACATCACAAAGCAGATAAAACCCCTGACAGAGGCTACCCAGTAGATGTCCTTACTGCACTATTAAAATTCCCCTCCTTTCCTCTGACTGTGCACCTGTTCTGACCAAACTTGTCCACTTCTGAGTGGCCCGACAGCGCCAGGCGTACAGTGGTGGAGGATGCTGCATCCCACACCCTAAGGAACTCCACTGAAACAGAACCACAGAGGAGCCCTGGGCACTGGGCTACCATTTTTCCATCCTGCTTAACCATCAGCATTCTCTGGCAGTTTCTTCTACTCACTGATAAACACCTTCCCAGACAGCTCCTGGGTATGATTTGTAGAACAGCACTGGAAAACAATATGGAAAAAGCTTATGTATCCCTTTGCCACATGCAGATATCTGACACTACACCACCAAGCACTGCCCTCAGACACATCTAGGTACCCCAAGACACATGAAACGGTCTCTGTGACTGTGAAGCCACTACCCTAACATGTTGCAGCACAACCCTTAGACATTCATTTCAAGCATTTTGAACTAGAAAAAAGGAAAACCAGTGACAGTAAAAATGTCTTAGACCTCGCCATGGGATAGCCAGGACAAGTGCTAAACATAGTACGGACAGCACAGTCTTTGTTACCTAGCTGCAGGGCAAGAAGGCAGTCCTTGGCCCACTTTAGTGATACCTGGAGCACTAAGGACAGTAAGTGTCATCTAGCACAGTTTCCTTACCTGTTGAGACTCTTACAAGCTGGCTGTATGCATGACCTGCAGAAGTATGAATTTCCACAGAATTTAAATCCCTTATCAGCACCCTGATATGAAGATAACATCAAGTCTAACACCACATCTTCCACACAGAAAACTCCCCAAGGGACTACGTAGCTGCATAACAAATCAAGCGATGACTTCACTTCTTACTGGAATTAAACCAGTCTGACAGTTAAATATTGGTTGTCTGCAGCAATACATGGCAATTTTATGGTCATCAAGATTTAGAACAAGAAGTATGAATTGCCTCAGTCATGTGGAATAATAAGAATATTGGGTTGCTAGAATGGAATTTAGCCAGTGGGATAATAAGGTCGCTCTTGCAGTCAGTACCCAGCAACTATTAAGGGACAATACATCAGTTTTTTGCCTCATTGGAAAGATGTCAAATGCCCCAGCATGACAGAGAATGTGTCCCAGAGCTGACATAAAAGGAATGGTGCCATCTCTTGAAATACAAAAAGAAGTATCAGGGACCCATAGCTATATATGTATGCTCTCTCTCTGTTACTACTGGTCCATATTAGTTAACACAACAATGGTAGATGATGATTCATTGAAACAATGAGAAGGATGCAAGTTGAAGAAGCCTGAAGAACAGGATTTGTGCTCAGGGGCCTACCAAATGTGGAAGCTAATGAGACACTTCGAAGTTCAAAAATATAGAGAAAAATGACATTGCTTATCCTATGAAACACAGCCTGAGTGGTCAGGACTTGGGTTTTTTTCCCATTTACAGCACAGTGAATCACACGTTTTTTCCTGAGTCACGCTATTTTTTTCCCATCTCTGGAAAAAAAAAAGGATTACAGTATCTTCCCTGAATCACTGCACAACGTATGTCGTAATGTATAAGGATCTGCAGATTTTCTCAGAGTAACCACTTCCATTCAAATGACGAGGTCATTCCTTTTTCAGGCTTTCTCATTGTACTGTAGTTTCTATCTAAAATGCTCTCCATGTACAAAAATACTCTTTCTTCATTGTTAGAAGGAAATTTATTTTGAAAGACCTGTAAGGAAGTTTACTTTAAAACCCTTAGACCTAGGTTCAGCAGCCCATGGACTTCTGCTGAGCCATCTATTGATAAAGTACCAGACCTGCTATGACCTTTAGGCAGGACAGAATTTAACCGTGGTGTTGGCAGCTTTAGGATGCTCCTCCTTTTGGTGGTTTCTATTATTCTGGAGCACTGGTTTTGTATTATTCCTAACACATTTCTTGATTACATATACTTGAGGCACTTTAAACTTCCCCTGAATACTTTGCTCTATTAAATATTTGCAAAAGGATGAAATGTCGTTTCAGCAGGTGCCGAAATCATGAGTGGTGAACAGGCTGACAAACAAGCTGTAGCACGAGAACCATTGGTCACCTTCTGTTCATTTCTGATTTAAATTTTTGAACTCTACATTGAAAACAGTATTTCAGAGTGAACTATGACAATAAACACCCTCAGTGTCATGAAACACATGGACAGAATTTAGAAACACTCAATGGTGAGACCTCAACATCCAGCAGGAACAAAAATTACTTTAAAATTTCTGGCCATACTTGTCTAAGTTGATACAAACTCCCACTGGAACTACTTGGAATTGCTGCTTATGCAAAACATAACTTACTGGCTCCTTGCAATAGAAAGTAGGTATGACCATTTGCCTCCAAAAGAATGACTTCTTGTGATCAGTTTTGTAGCTTTTGGATGTATGAGTTCTAGGGCCACCTCACCAGGCTGCCCAAATCCTGTCCTCCCATGCTACACCCATGCAAAATGTCTTGGTCCCTTTGCTTCCACTAGCATTGGTGCACGGACACCCAGTTAGCAAGGCAGCGTGGGGAGTCAAACCAGCCAGAAACAGGCAATACAGAAAACTGAAATAGGGTTTAGCTCCCTGATCTGGGCCACCAGAGACTGTCAAATTCCAGTTCTGGTACAGGGGAGAGAGAGACCCTTCGCTGAGACTCCATCTTCCTGCCTGGATCTAGAGCACCCACTTGTCCATGCAGGGTACAGAGCAGAGATAGCACAAGCATATCATGCCTTTTGAGGCAACCACCACTGAACTTGAGACAAAAAATACTGATAACAGTAAGGAAGGCATCATCAGGTGCCAGAAGTCATGGTAAGAAAAGTGTCTAAGCTAGAACTTTTCAAGCACAAGTTTCAGCTTCTCTTTGAGGAGTATAGAAATTTTATCAGATTACAGCTCCATTTTAATGTTAACACTATGCACCTTTATCAGCTCTCTCCTGTTATACTTGAATATTAAAAATCATTTAATATACTGAAAAAACACAATATACATATACACAATATATGACAAGCAAGCATCTTGTCAGTTCTACCCCTACTTATTTTCCTGAACAAAAGATCAACATATAAAAAAAAGTGAATTTTAAAGATGCCACCTTCTGTCAGACCTCATGGTGCATGATTTTTTTTTTCCCTTATGTTACTCTGGACAGATTATTTAGTGATCAGAGAACTGACTGTGTTTCCTCTGGATACCTGGAGTCACGGTTCTGCTCTGCTGAGTCTTTCTGTGCAGCTTTACATCACCTAGGACAGGTCTACAGCACCCGACAGTTTTACTCCCCCTTCCCCAGCCAGGCAAGCGCAAGCTAACTTGGGTCCCAAAGCTATGTGGCTATGTCAGCACGGCGCTGAGCCTGCTAAATGCCCCCTAATTAGCAGGACTGTGCAGCGGAGACTCATGACTGGCGTGTGTCCAGACAGCCGGGAAGAGACGGTAGGCTGGCTGAGCACGAGTGCTGCACCTGCACAGCAAGGGTTTTGTCCCTTATCGCAGGCAGAGGGCGGGAGGACAAATCGTCAAGACTGTGAAGGGTAGAAACAGCATGGAAAGCAGGCATGTAAATACCTACAAGGCTGCTAGATGCAGTTTGATAGAACCGGGGCGCTTTCCCCTCCTTGCCGCTGCTGCCCTGGGAGGCAGGCCTTCCCCCCCAGCCTGGCAGGGGACCCTCTCACTCATTCCCCTATGCTCATTTCCAGGTCCTTGCCATCACGGTGGATCCTTGCTGATTCCTGCCCATACAAATGAGGGCAAAACCTCAACATGGGGATCTCCCCAGTTATTTAATTGATAATTGTTTGGCAAGACCTGAGGAATCAGCTCAGAGACACAGATGGTGCTAAACGAATCTCCCTGTTGTCTCTGTAATCCTACATCCCCACTGTAATCGCTGTGCATTTGGGACGAGCGTGAGTGAAAAGTAAGTAACGTAACGATTGAGGGGGAAGATATCTTCAGACTGGCAGACCCCAGGCACTGTTCTACAGCTGATCCAGAAATCCTGCAAACATCCAGTATGGGAGAGGTCTCTCTTCCCATTTCTGTGCCTGCTGCTACACTCACACCGCCCTGCCTGGTCCCTGCTCATGCCCTCGCCCCGAGGCTGCGGGTACCGGGGAGGCATTTGGCCTTGCAGAGCCCCCCCACAGCCGAGCCCTTACCGCACGCCCCTTCTCCAAAGCCCAGGAAACTCTCCAGCCCGCAAAGCCCCGGGGCGCGGCGGGAGCGGGAGGTGGGCAGGGTGCGTGTCCCCGGGGGAGTCCCGCAAGGCGGCGTCCCCCACAGCATCCGCGGGCCAGGGACCCACCCAGTGACGTCCCACACGGTGACGTTTTGTATAAAGGTGTCCTACACAGCCGCATCTCGCACGGGGATGGATGTCCCACACAGCCATGGATGTCCCACACAGCCACGTCCCACACAGCGATGACCCTCGCAGTGATGTCCTGTACAGGGATGTCCTGCACTGCCACGATCCACACAGCCATGCCCCATGCGATGATGTCCCGCACAGCAGTGTCCCACACAGCCGTGTCCCACAGAGCAGTGTCCCACACAGGGGTGACCTGCGGTGTCCCCCACAGCAGTGCCTCCCACAGTGATGTCCCTCACAGCAACGTCCCACGTGGTCATGACCCTCACAGCAGTGTCCCACACAGTGATGTCCCTCCCACACAAGCATGTCCTGCACAGCAGCGTCACACAGCCACATCCTGCACAGCGGTGGCCCTCACAGGACTGATCTGCACGGCAATGTCCCACCCAGCAGTGCCCTGCGCAACAGTGACCCACAGAGCTGTCCCAGAGCGTCCCCATCCACCTCCACACAGCCCAGCGGGTGGGGATGGCCTGGGGCCACCAGACAAGGTTTATTGGTACAGGTGCTTTCTCATTTCAAGGCACATCCTTCAAAGCCAAGAGCATTTGCTTCTGTTATGTTTTCCAGTTTCTTTCTTTTTTCTTTTTTCGTTTTTCTGAAGCTCTGTTTTCAGAACAAACAAAAGAAACTGTACTTGCAAGTGCACAAGGAAAGCAGGATGGATCCCTGACTCACTTCCTAAAACACCAAGATTTGGATTCTGGTTTTGTTATCTCCAGTCTTAAGAGGTTTTAAGGATTAATGGGACCTGATCATTTTAGCAAAAAATCAAATCCCAAACGTAGTGAGGTGATTGCAAAAATATGTTAGCTTTGCACACTTCAATTTGCAGATAGTTAGCTACTAAGGCAAGAGACATCTGGTCTCCCAAAGCTTCTTACAGATGCAAGGTAACAGCCTATTTGATACATGTGGGTACTTGGACCCCCTGAGACAGCTCAGGGCAGCCAGAGTTTAATGTCTTCTAGCCATCACAACGTTGTTGTTAAAATGTTTAAATCCCAGAGGATTGGGTCTGCACTGTTACCCAGTGTACCACTAATGAACTCACTGGCATATTGCCAGCCTCAAACTTGAACTGCTGAACAGCAAACGTTGGGGGAGTTCCTGTAGTGGGCGAGAGGAGAGCAAGACTTGCAGCCTGCCTTGGTAAAAGGTGGAGTGAGAGCAGCAGAAATGCCTCTTTATGTTCTCCTTTCCTTTATTGTATTCCTGTGGCTCACCTGAAAGGCAAAATATTAGCAAATCCATGTAGAAACTACCTTTATAAGTAGGTAGATCATGTGTGGATGATTTACACAAAGGGATAAGTCAGTAAAACTTGGATGAGTTTGGAACAGGTTAAAGAGTGGCTTTCTCTCAGTGCACATGTTTACAGAAAAACAAGAAACTATGTCTGCATTGGTCTAGTAAAATAAAACAGAATACAAATGAAAAATGTTAACATTTCTACTAGATGCAGTAAAGCAGATTCTTTAGAGCAATGAGAAAAAATAATCTTAAAGGAGAGAAGAAGTTCACTCAGTTTGTTCCAGCAAATACTTTGATTTTTCCCTTTTAGTTCAGTACCTTTTAGGAGTAGCACCGGGTAACTTGTCAGTAATAGTGACAAAGAAACACAGCAATACGTTCTCAGGCAATGAAGCAGCATTCAAACCCTTACAGGTAATCCCAGCAAAATAGACAGAGATTTTTTTCTAGTTTGACATGAGATAGTCCATAGAAAGCACGTGTTGCTTGTGCCCTGCCATTCGATATACTTTTTTCATACAGATAATTTTATGAGGAAAATCAGTTTCGGACAAGGCTGGTATAAAAGGTGTGTGTAAGTAAGCTTAGGGAATGGACAGAGGCCTTGCTCTGTCTTCCTTGTAAGCCATGGAAGAGCACTGCATGGAACAGAGGTCATCAGTCATCTGTTCCACATGTGCCCTCGGTGCTAAAATACTTTTTCTTAATCCCTGAGGAGAAATCTCAGGACTGTATTGTAGTCTCAAAAGCAGGTGTTGCTGTTGGCTCTGACATTTCGAAAACCATAGTCTAGCTCAACTTGCCAGAAATATATTTTTGTACTTTTCTGCCATTTCTGCCCTAATTTAACTTTGGGTACTCAAAATTCAAATTTCCAAACTAAAACATAACTGCAGTATCATATGGTGAAAGGGAAAAAGAAACCAAGACTGTGAAACATGTTTTTCAACTAATTTCTCCAACATGTAAATAGTTCCAATGAGTCTTGTTTCATTGTTTTCTTATTTTGAACCAAAGTGTTCCCATTGCCTTACACGGAGTTCTCCTTGGTTTATAATACCATAAAGCCAAAACTGAGCCAAATGAGCTCCAACAGTAAATTAGAAAGAGAACTTTTCTCTATTATTTACCATGTTTACCAACTCTATTATTTACCATGGTTATTTATGCTCTCTCTCTATAAAGCTTGTAAAACACAGCCCAACTCTTGCTCTCTGTCCATTCCTATGGTGCGCATCTACACATCATATTAGGCAGAAGACTGAAAACACCTGCAACTGGGAAAACCTTCAGTCTGGGAACAAAATGTATGTTTGATAGTAAAATACCTCTCTTTTATATCTGAAGTTTAACTTACAGCTGCAGTGGCTTTGGGGACCTGATATAAGGACTATCCAGCTCAACTTCAAAGACTTTTTCAAATACATTATCTGTCATCCCGCAGCATTCCACATGCCCACACCTCCCCACAAGCAAACTTGCACAAGTAGAGCTCGTTTTTCTTTGCTGCTAGGAGGTTAATCCGATGGCAACAAAATGAGAAGACTTCAAAGATCCTCCAGGGTATTTTGTTTTCTTTTAGACACATGTTTGCACACAGCTCTATTTATTTTACAAAAATACCCTTCTGAAAGCAACCTGCTTACATTTTATGGAGACATTTTATACTGAGACACAGTGACTGATGTGACTACAGAGGGTGCAGACTGTCTTCATCCTGCTACGCAGGATCAAGCTTCCGGGGAGCACCACAGTCAGCTACAACTAGAGTTTGTCATAGGAGGCCCTTGTTCTGAAGAAGTAGACTTTCTCCCGGCAAGAAATAGTCCCTATTAAGGTAAATAACCAAATCATGATGTTTGCTAGCATAGCTGACAGCTTAAAGAAATAACAACATTTTGTATGTAAGAAAAATGATGAGTAATTTGTCTTCACTAGCAATCAGCCTGCATAAGAACACAGTAGATGATACATAAAAGACGGTTTCTATAGTTTCATAACCCGTGCTGTTATACAAAAAATATAGTGTTGTTTCAATGTCTAGCTTGAGCGGTTGTACATCAAATTGCTCGTGAGTGAGCATGCTGAATACCTGGCTATATTAGCTGTGCAACCAGCCTTCCCCTTCTACCCGACGTTGCCTGGCAGTCCTGTCAGGTGCAACCTCACTGTGGGAGACACACTGGCTTGCTGCAATTTCAATTACAAAAATCTCAATTATAACCATTGATTTTGGCTGGGGTTGGTAATGATGCATGAAATTGCTTGAATTCTAGAGATTAGTGGGAATATAGCAGAGCTATCTATCAAGGTATTTTTAGATGATTTTTCAAGGCTTTCACCCACCCTGTACATTACTGAAAAAATGTTCAAGTACTGAGATGAGCATAGAGCTTCTGTCAAGCTTCTATGCAGAAAAAGCCAGGCAAATCTGTATGTCCAACCTATGGGGATCAGGGCTGGAAATCATCCCTTTCCTGTTTTTTTCCCCAAGTTTCTCTTTTTACAGGTTCAGGGAGCTAAACTGAGATGAAGCACATGAGACAGGGGAAGTAGCCCAGGGCAGGGCAGCAGCAGGTCTGCCTCCACCAGCAGCAATTAATGATAAGCCTGGCTCAGCTAGTGCATGTGGTAGAACATTCCCCTTACTCTGTCAGGCTATAACTACATCTTCTGTCTGAATAAACAGCCTGTGGCTTATGGAATAATAGTATCACAGTCATAAGCACATTTTCTCATGTTAGTTCTTATTTTATCTTAATTCTAAATGCTGCTATAATCCAGAAGTGTCATCATGATGTCATTCAAATTTTCATTTGTCTTAGTGATGTTGAGAACAATATTGCCCAGGGATCACTCATAAGGGAGAATGCTGAATACCTGGCTGTGTTTGAAGAAGAGCGTTTGCAGCATAACCACTGATGCGTAATGTGCTGAGTTTTCTAACTCCTGGTCCTGGAAAGTCAGCCTGTCCTCATTCCTCAGGCCAAATAGGACACTTGTGCTTTCAAAAGCTTTCCTCAGATGTGAAGGCATCTATTCATGATGTGTGAGGAACACAATCCACTTGACTCCTGTTTGTTAGCAATGCTCCAGCAGGGTTTACCAGGCAACTTTACTTTTTAAATGCCGACAGTCAGCCAGAGTAAGAGAAGGGGGCAGTTAAACACAAGCACTTTCCAAACCACAATTGCCTCTTGTAAAATAAGCATCCCAGAGTATTATTCCACATGTTTTCCTGTTTCTCCTGATTTTGGGTTTTTTTTACGTAGTTACAGACCCCCTCTTTTCTGTAATCATGACTAAATCAATTACCTACTTTCCTGATGGAGGTATTGTTATCATCATTTTAAAGATAGGAGAAAATGATACTGAGAGATTAGGGCCCCTATCCAGCAAAACACTTAAGCACTTGCATAACCCGAGGCACATAATAACCCCACTGTAGGACTGTTCACGTGTTCCAGGTTATGCAAGCTTGGAGGATTTACTGAACCAGGGCCTCCTGGTGTGCCCAAGGGCTCCCTGAGATGCAGCTCCCTCACTCTCAGCTACACACTGCAGTCACCAGCCTCTCCTTGCACATTCTCAGAGTATCCACACCATTCTGTCAGATCTAGAGCAAACATTAGCCCTGATTTAGGCCCAGTCAGCTCCTTTTTCATCAGGTTATAAAGCTAAAGAGATGAATAGCTTATCCTCAAATCTTTTAAATTAATGAAAAAGGTGGCTGACTGTTTATTTCACATTAACTCCAGAAGAGATTT